TAATACGTCTACTTTATAGCGAACGGCCGGAAGAGAATCCGTTCACGACCACGGTCCCTTCTTAGATTTAACGTAGTTCACAAATTCACCGTTTTCATAACGTAGAGGGCAGCAGAAAATCCCTGACTTTTTACACTATCGGTATTTCAGAACATGAGACACGAAATTTCATAAGATGATAGGTCTATCCTATACCTAGTCGGTGGTGGAACCAAATAGGTTCTTGTATATGCTAGGGTGGATACAAAACGGGTAGATTCCTTCCATTATGCCGGAATTGGCCGCTTGGTGCAGCATACATACTCGAAGACAACGAATTCCCGGCATGAGCACTCTCATTAATTTCCTCTCTGGTGCTCTCTGGTTATATACATACGCCTGCAATGCCTGCATACGCCACTGATATTTCACTGTAGGTTAGATTATGATCATAAGGTACACAGAAAAATAATTATGTATGATGTTGTGGAAAGTAACATCGAAGAATTATATCCAGATATCAAGGATACCATCAAGAATGCGTCGTTTATTGCATTTGATGCCGAATTTTCGGGGATACAGTCGGATGAACAGATGAAGTACAGGTTAGCACGACTCAGTATCTGCTATTAATGATCTGTATCTTAATTATATATTTTAACAATTTTCTGTATTACTACAGCCTTTTCGATTCGCTCGATGATCGATATAAAATACTGAGAAAGAATATCAAATCGTATGTAATAGTTCAGTGCGGCATTGTAGCATTTAAGCATGTTCCTGATAAAAATATTTACAAAGCAAAATCTTATAATTTCTATCTATTACCAAGATCAGTGCCATTTAAAAACAGGCAATTCTTGTGGCAAGTGAGCGCCCTAGAATTTCTCTCCACACATAACTTTGATTTTAACAAGGTATGTGATAAAAACAATAGAATAATAAAAGTCTATGCACAGTAGAATTAAAGCAATAAGGTAAATAAGATCGCATGTAATAATGGATTTATGCTATCACTTTTAAATACTTGTAAATATTACTCACTTTTTAGTTTGTAAATGAAGGTATAACGTATCTTGATGAGATAGATGAAGATTTAATGACTAAACATGTAAAAGAAGGTAATTTACAACGTAATTTGGAATATCTATCATATGAAGAGGAAGATGATTTCAAGGACTGTAAAAATAAAGTTTCTGAGTGGATTTCGACATATCCAAATGAAATTTCAATGGTCTTGAAAGCTGCTTCTCCTATTTTACAATATATGATGCATAAAGAGTTACGAAGTAGTTTTAAAAATATTTGGACAGTCTATGGACATAAATCGGTATGTAGAATATGTTATTACTAATGGTATTTGGATCGATTATTAGGTTGGCAATTTCTTTCAGATAACAGTTATAAGGGTATCTGATGACATGCGCCTAGTTTTAGAAAACGAGCAGACAGATAATTTGGAAGAAAAATTGTTAAATTGTTGTATAGGTTTCAGTAAAGTATTCAAACTTTTAACTTCTACAAGGAAACCAATAATAGGACATAATGTACTTTTGGATTTAATGTTCATGCATCAACAGTTTTATAAACCATTGCCATGTAACTATTCTTCATTTGCTTAAGAAGTATAGTGAATCTAAACAAAAACATATTTTCATTAAGGACAGTAATAGTGCTGGAAGTTTTTATGTTCAAATCTAAGTACATTTTAGACCCTACATTTTTCTTTTTCCAAATTTGGTATCATTCAAGAGATTCATAGTGGACTTTAATGTACAGTTTTGCTTTAGTATATTGATCATTAAGGAATGAAAACGGTACATTTATATCTAATGATACTATATTAGGCTTGTTACAAGTATAGTACACTCTTGTGCTTAAGAAAGTAACTTAATGTAATTACACGTTGCATTAAGTCTCTGTTATTGTTTACATCTATTCTATCATTTAACTAAAGAACTAACACAAAACTAATATTTAAAGAATTTCATTGATGAATTAACTGAAATTTAAGGATCTAATTAAATTGATCTACAAATGTTCTAGGTAGTTATAGGGAATTCAAAAGTACTATACATTCATTGTTTCCACAAATATATGACACAAAATTCTTAGCTTCTCAAGTCAAACAAGTACTAGACAAAGAAGGTAAGAAAAAACATTAAGAAAATTTCAAGTGAAATGATACAACATTGGAACTAACATGAGCACTATGGTAATTTTTGTTAAGTAAATTGGAAAATCAGTTCCCTGAGTGCAATACATCAGTATTTTACTTCAAAACAACGAAAATATTCCGCATTCAATTCGCCCCAGATAATGACTGAAAATAAATCTTCAGGTAATAACGTCTTCATCTTCCTGTCAAAATAAATATTACATGTTTACTTGAAAATAATAAATTTATTTTCATTTTTACTTTAGATGAAAATGCTTATCACACTGCAGGATGGGATGCATACTATGCAGGGTATATTTTTGTAAAAATGGCACATATACTATGTATAAAACAATATGGAGAGTATGTTTTATTTTTACCAGATAAGTTGCATTAGTACTAATAAATTTCATTTTTAATTATCCAAATTATTATACATTTCGTAAATTTCAGGGGTTTAGAATATAGAGCAGTGACTCATTCTGAATTAATGAGTAGTGTAAAATGTTTTGTAAACTCTATAAACATAACAAGAGGAAATGAAGTATATTCGGTACAGAAAGATTAATTATTAGATTTAATGGAATGTATAAAGTAATAATTGAACTAAATTATAATTATTTCAGAAACTTGATGGAGATGATCCATTGTCAACAAGACCAGAATGGCTTCATGTAAAGCTAAACTCACCATGTATAAATATAAAAGAGGTATGCTACAAATTAAATCTGTGTATGTATATGTATATTCAATCCGAAATTTCATCACTAGGTAGCTAAGGTATTTTCATCTTTTGGACCTATTGATGTGATGCCTTTTGCCCGAAAACGTGTACTGGTAGCCGTTGGAAACCACAGAAGGTTAGTGTAGATTTTAATGTTATGAATATAAATTTCTATTACTAATATTAATTTGAAACTTCCTTCGCTTAATTTAATAAAAGATTACGTTTATTGCACATAAAATACAGATTTAATCAAAGTTGCAAAGATGCAATACGCTGTGTTCATTATTTCGTAAACATAAGAAAAATTCAATTAGAAGAATCGACGATTTACAAATAATAGTCTATACGTGAATACTTCGAAGTAGATAACTCGTTTAAAGTGAGACAAATTTAAACCCGGTTGTCGTCGAGCACAAATAACCCCACTGCAGCCTGTCAAACTGACACGAAACATGCTCACAGAAACTCATATTTTACATTTTGCACGGCACAGTATCCGGGTTAACAAAACAATGGAGAGATTAAAGGGAAAAGCGGGTACCGCGAATCTCCCGTATGATTCGTAACATATTGAAATTTCCAACGGGCGTTAAACGGACATGCCTACGGAAAAGGTAGATCTACATAGTAATCGTTTTGTTTACTTCACGCATCAGACAAATATAATTAGGTATTAAGTACGCAGTTGGTATTTTAGTATGAAGCTGCTTCGAAGTAAGGTGGCGGAACTATTTTGGATCATATCCAAGGGCAACCACGTATACTCATCGTTGCACTTACAAAGTGTAATATCAGCGCACGTGATTTTATACGACGTAACTGTATTTTCGTTTTGCCAAAATTTGCTATACTCAATCCTATCCTGATATTTTGGAGAGATATTGTTCGGGGAAATTATTTACGAGATATATTAACACGTTTGCTTAACGCTTCATATGGAAGTTGTTAATTTCGAAGTTCAAATTGCAAATAAGCGAAACGATAAACTATACAATTTTTCAATGATTTTAATCATCCCGGTATAACGTTACTCTGGGAAACAAATTAAGTATAATTGTACATACAACTTGTCAGTAGTGCATCAATAGAAAAGCTATAAATATCAGTGGGCAAGGTGAACGACCTGAAATCCTTTGAAGATTATTCAGACCATTAGAGTTCTCACATAAACGTTTAAACTAAATTCTTTAACCCATTTAATATATGCATATATCAAACTTTTTATACACATTTCAACTATAACTTTAATGATTATATATACATCATAGGTTTTTCTTGTAAAACTTACATTAAAAGTGTCAAAGCAATTAATAATGAATATGTTAATAGTTTCATAAAAGTCACTTATATACTATATATTTATATATTTTATACCATAAATAATTTATTCTTAATATTTAAAGAAAAAACACTTAAATCATAAAGAAGAAAATATTTCAGACTTTCTTACATGCATTGGAATATATGTATTACAATGGAACTGCAGCTCTTTATGGAAATTTTCTTTTTATGGTCTTATCTTTTCGAAAAACAGAAATTTTATTAAACATAAATCAAACATGTATTGTATTCTATTCTATACGGTTACATCTTCTATATGTATAACTTCAGTGTAATTGTAATCCCATAATTATACACACAGATATGTATATGAGGACTCTGGTCGGGTAGTACAACCGGGCAAAAGGTGATTCTATAAGAAAAAATAAGTTGAAAAAAAAGAATACACTTTTTTCGAGCGATGCTTCGTTTTCGAGATAATCGAACTTAAAAATTTGTTGAACGCACGGGCAATAGAATAGGACTTGGTTAACACGTCTGTTCATTGCAGACCGTTTCTACTTATTGCCAGCACAAATACACACGTTTTAGATAAATGTTCAAATTGAAACCTGATTTTCTCGAAAACGAAATGTTTAACAAAACAAATTAATTCTGTTTTTCCGACTTATTTTTTCGTATAGGATCATCTCATGCCAGGTTGTACTACCCGACCTGAGACACCCTGTATAACATATTAATTCCAATTGGATAAGATGAAAACATTGTGTATGTATATAAGCTATACCATGCTATTTGTATAGTTGCATAGGGTTCTCATTTCATTCCATTTTTCTCTAATCAAACTATTGAATAAATTTCTGTTAAAAAATGTAATAGTTTAATAGAAATTAAAAATATAACTATATACATAGATTCGAATGGATTAGAAAAGAAAGTGTTGAAGAACCAAAGCCTCGAATTCATTTAAAATAATTATTATCATTCCAATGTTGGATTTGTTTTAGACACGTATCAAATCATTATACCCAGTCAGAACAACCCTCGTACGCGGTTTATTTCTCTGTACGGCTCGAATGAACAATCGGTCACGTTTTCTTAATTCAGACAGCTTGGAATCACAAACCACCGTCAGTTAAATATCAGATTCAAGCGAATCCATTAAAATCCGTTTACTTTTCATTCGACGAGCTGTCGAAACAATGAGCACTTATGTAAGAACTATCGTAACTAGAAAATCATTGCATCCTACTGTTTAAATTTCGTCGTAAATTCCATCGACACGGCGTTTATTGTTCTATTAACTACTTAACGCTGATATTTCAGCTAAATTATTGAAACATCCATACATAACATATTTACCCAACTGTATTTATTATATTTAAAATTCACATAACAAATAAGAAGTTAAATTTATAATTCTATGAAGTTTACAGATGAATTCTGTTCTTGGTCTGTTTAAATCTAAGTCAAATCATTTTGTAATTTTCAGTGACTTATATAGGATTAGATCGTCTGTTTTGAGAATAATCATAAGAATCTTTTCTTCCTGCCATTTCTTGCGTCATCGATTCCGTATAATTTCGGTGTTGGTTGCACTTACGATCGTGATTCATTTTTAAAAAGGAAACCTAAAGTAATTCGAACCATAAACAATTACTAACCGTTCAAGAGTACTCCCATTAATTAACCAATGATTAAGAGGTTGATTAAAATATTTAAAGTTATTCTTGTTCTCGTTTTTCTTTTTTTCTTTTTAACAAATTGTAAAATATGCACTGTACAGAACCGGTCAGGAAACATGGCGTTCCAAATTATAACAATAACGTCTGTTAAGAACACAAAGGGTAGCATTCAGTCCGTGAAGCTCGTCACGCGTGTCGGGGGTACCGCGAGTCAGCTGACTTCATCATTCCCGAATTAGATTCAAAATGAATTATCCGGTGCCCCGCTATCAAGTATGCATTTTCACGAGCGTGATGCATTCTCTTTTACGTTCACCATCCCGCACAATTCACTCGCGGCCTACCAACGTTCATATATTATAAGCGTCAGATTTTCTTTGGCACTGGCATTGTTCCAAAGACTGTATCGTTTCTAACCAACGAACTTTTGTATTAGTACCTCTACCGAGCCGAACTTTGCGGATTGAATCAACCAACTGCGACACTTTTGGATGATAAATAATGCCAGGCATTCCGAGCGATTATTGCAACTTTTCATCCTTATGAACATTCGCCTTTCCAGCACCCTCAGGTTCCATAAATGGTCCTTTCTGTTCAACTAATTTCTTTTTTACATGGTTTACATCTTCGAATATTCGAAATACAGATTCCTCTCGATTATCGTCTGGCTTGTTCTACACGAATATTGTCCAGGTGTTATCCCCACCGCTGGGGAGGTGGGGGGCGTGGAACCTGTCAAGCGCATACTTTGTTGCCGAACCTTGGGCTTCGGGCAAAAAACGAATTTACGTGGATCTGAAGCATTTCTCCCTATAAGATTATTGTCCCGCTGCGGATCGGAGTTCGGGATGATAATCGAGATGAGTCTGTACCAGTCATATTACTTTGTTTAACGATAGAATTACCAGCACCGAATGTAGACCACCACTATAATTTCAGTAATTGTAAAAGAAAATATCTGAAATTTGTCAATTTAACGGATTTGGTAGTTTTAATATTAATAACTCTTTAACATAAAATTGTCATTACTTCTTCTTTCTAAATAGACCATAAAAGTCTGACCTTGCATAAACGTTCGCAATCTAAATATCATTTATAATTTATAGAGCACAACACAGTGATTTTACTTTGCTGCACTTGAGGGCAATTTAAAGAAAAATCTTTATCATAAATTGACTATTTAAAGACACAGTCTAGGAATAAAGATTACTGGGAATTTATCGTTTCAAACACATCTCTTTGTCCACGTTATCTACAAAAAAGGGATGGAAACTTTGGTAAAGGCTCTGCAACTTCCTTAGGTATTAGATTGTCGGCAGGCTACAAGTAAAAATTCAATTACAATCATACTTTATAGATCTAAATAAAAATAGAACTGTACGAATATGTGTGACCTAGGAAGACAGTGGAAGAACAGAGAACAGCAATTCTAGTAATTGTAATCAGATGTAATTCTTTATTAATTTTATTGACTCCTCAGACCTGCTGTGCACTGCGTCTTAAACAATAGTAGAGGCCGATGCGTTGCTTAACATAATCGATACAAAATTATTTTTACCCGGATGTTATAATCGTGGGAGCTTTAAAAATCTTGTTGCAGCGCGCTCGACATATTGACGTATTTCAAGAACAGCAAGGAATTTCAGGTGGCGAGGTACAGTCCTATAAGACACGCTCCTCCTCGTAAGCTTATTTTATGGTACGTAATATGAACAACTTTTTCAATATATAAAAGAAAACTGTTTATGGTGTAAAGTAATTGATACTTACTCATGGGCGTAGCCCCCCCCCCCTCCCCGTGGACGGAAAAAAGTGGCTTTTGCTCCATCCTACAAGAAAAAAAATTAGATTTTGCCCGCCCCCCTCACCTTCCCAGAGTTATAAAATTTTTGCGTAATATTTAATATTGCAGTATAATTTGAAACACGACCAACAACCTCTATTAACAAAACGCATACATTGCCCCAACTCGAGTCGATCTTATTCGATTTTTTTGGTCTTACGTTTGATAGTTCTGATTCGAACGTCTCTATCCTTAGTTCAATTGTTCAATTCGAGTGGTTTCAACTCGAGTGGATCTTATTCGCTTTTTTTTTTTTGGCCGGAGGTTTGATAGTTCTGATTCGAACGTCTCTATCCTTAGTTAAATCAACTCAAGTTTCGACAGTCTAGTTTGTTCCATTTCAAGTCTTCACGGTAATAAATTGAACCGATCGCGCCGTACTCGTGCTGAATTGGCGTTTTATTTTTATCCCGTTCGACACTCGAATTTATTGTTCTGGCCCACTAGTCATACCAATGAAATATTAAAGTGCATTTGGGATGAACTTCTTTAATGCTGTTCGCTGAAAGGATTATGACTATTCAAAATCAATATTGCCGGTAATATTTGAACGCTCGTGTGTTAAAGCGCGTCGTCGCCGTAAGTGTAATGTCGTCGGTGTAAGTGATTTAACGGCACGTGACATTTATCGCCGCATAATTTACCGTATTATCACACTGTCCTAAAATTACACGGAGGCTCGGTATAATAATCATTCTGCGAAGGAAAAGTGAGCGAGATCCATTGGCCAGGCCTCGAGAACGAAACACTTTACAATTAGAATCACCGACGATTTCTGGGTCTAACTTCGCCGGCCGTGTCCAGAGGTCAGATACGGTATGCACTAATTCGGTAACATTCTGCACCGGTTGTGACGTAATCGTGATTTCAAACGGGCCGTTCGATAACACGAGGCTTTATTCAAATCCGTGGTGGTGAACGAGGCTATCCGTAGTTGTGTCAAACGAATTAATGGCCGTTCTTAGCCGGTCGAAGAGATCTGCCTGCAAAATCTCTAATTAGCACCAAGATTGCCGTAGATGCATAAGTGCCGTTCGCGGTGCCAATTGTTGCGAAGGCAGCGTTCATCGTGGCACCCATCGCGTTACCCAATAGCAAGGTAAATCGTTTGAAGATGCTCCGATTTCGATTAGCTCCTCTTCGACGCGTCGCTGAAACCCTTACGAAACCCTTATTACGTAAACGCTCGTACAATTAATTCTTTTCTTGCATGAAAGACACGAATTTAACCCTTTCGACGATTGAATTTGTGATACAAGAAAAGGTTCATAACTTCTAGGGTAGATAGTACTTGCCAAATGATGAAAAATAATCCTCGTAAACGTGGGTCGAGAAATTAATATTTTTATAGTTATAAATAATTTTTTTGGTTCGTTTTGATCGTTATAAAATTTTTGTTCTTTTTCAGGTAACTTGTATACTTTAGTGCATCATTTGATAAAGTTTTATATACGTAGGGTACTTTCGTAAACAATATTATTAATTTTAAAAAATGTTTTGTTTACAGTCAAGAGCTTTGTACCTAGGTCAATATAAGTTGCGTGTCAATTGCTTTACCTCACGAAACTATGTATTTTCACAGCGAAAACGATTGCTTACAGTGAGTCACATAAGTATTCGTGCCTCCACCAACGTTGACTTTGAACGACTGTTACTTTCTTAGAACATATGCTTTAAAATTTTTATCGAAGAGAATGCATACTGTACTGACTAATTTTTCCATTAATATGAAATTTATTGAAAGAAATTCGGTGTAAGAAAAACAGCAATTTAAATAAACTTCCATAGCATCGTTATCACAAAATTATTGCAAGTACCTACTACAGAAATTCCGTATTTACAGAATCGAAATATTCACAAATCTAGTCTGCCCTGTATTTTATTCTGGTCTGTCTTATTCCAAGTTTATAAATGTTTCAAATACTTTTGTAGATTAGTTAAACACTTTCGTTACATTAATTGAACAATACTTTACGTAAATTTTTATTTCAGCTACAGTGAACTATTACCTTTAATTGCAAACAATTTTCTGGAAATCGTGAACTGAATTAAAACTGTACTAGATTACTATGGAAAGAGACCTGAAAGTTTGTAAAATGCGTAAAAAATATCGATTGTTCGAAGTCAACGATTGCGGGTAATACGAATAGTTCTCTGTGACTCCACTGTACAGGGTGTCATGTAACTGGTATAGTGTATATCCGGGCAGATATTGATTCCACGTAAAGAAATATGTCGAAAATATACAATAAAATTTGTTCAATTTTAGTTTTCATTTCCGAGAAAATCGATATTGAAAATTAATCTGAAACGCGTGTATTCATCATGGCTGTAAGTAGAAACAGAATGCAATAATCAGACGCGCCAGCCAAGTCCTAATCAATTCCACTCGTATCCAGGTTTTCAAAGTCAATTTTCTCGAAAATGAAGTCTCAAATAAAAAACATTTATTTCATATTTTCGACTTATTGCTTCGCGTAGAATAACCCACAACCCGATTGTACTACCAGTTACACGACATTCTGTATGTTAAATCAAAAGAGACAACGGATCGAAATAATATTTACGTAATTATACGTGATTCTTCGAATATAATTATATTTAATCTCAGGGGTGGCGTGGTCCTGTCCGGTGGAATGCTTGCCTGGATGATCCAGCGTGTGTTCAAGAAATCGGTAATATCAAATTAGTCGCGCGTATTGTCTCTTTTACGCTACCGACCGTATTGTGATGTCACAACGATAAACACAACACAGACGAATTTTTGTATCTCTCTGCTATGTTGAACAGTAGTATCGATCACACGCGAGGAGAAGAGATCAAAACGAAACAGAGGGAAAAAGCACGTTACTGTTGCATGTAACCGGACGGTTGTTGAAATCATTACTGTTCATACGGATCCTCTGTAAAATAATATAGTTAATTTGTGGCGATGATAAGTAACGGCGACAAACAAATACAAACTTTTAGTCAATTTTCTAACTGGTATAGTGTTTTCTTCTTCCTTGCACCACCGTTTTCACCGTCGAGCGTCACAGCTCCTGCGGGGATTCATTTACATAAAGGGTCTCGCCACTGTGAAACTCTGAAAAATTGTGACTTTTTGGGAATTTTTTTCAGTGAACGAAATATTTAACATAAATGAAGTTGTCTATTTATTAATACACTTATTCAGAGTATAAAAAAAATTACTTTCAAAACCTTTAATTCTGAAGTGAGCACCTTGAAAAAATTATGTTGTGCTGGCATAGGTGATTGCAAAAAAACTATTCGACCAATCAGTCTGAAATTTGTATCTGTTATTCAGTACATCAGTGGCTATCGCAGGGACCACGGAAACCTCTTTTGATCAACAATTTCATACTTTTCACAATGCAAAATGACTAAAAAAATTCAACGAATTTCGAAATTTGAGCTACACACCTCCACCATTTTGTTAATTTTTTATCGGTCAAAATAATTTTGATTCCAACCATAACGATACTTATACTGATTGAAAATCAGTTTGAATTTTTTTATTCTAATGCTTCGTTCTCCCAGAATCACCTACGCCAACACTACATAATTTTTTCAAGGCACTCAATTGTGTGCAATATATACATATACATATATGTATATATATAAGAAAAAACTATTAAAAGTATCGACAAAAATTTGTTTATACCCTTAATAAGTGTATTAACAAATAGACAACGCTTCATTTATGTTGAAAATTTCGTTCGTTGACAAAAAAATTCCCAACGAATGACAGATTTTCAGGGCTTCACAGTGGCAGGACTCCTTAAATTGCAGATCGGGAAATCATGAGCGGAATCTTTGCCGTGAGCTGTTATTATTATTTCACGTTCGGTACCGGACGCTCCCGATTCGGGGCCAGAGTCTCGTTTCGTCAAGGAAGTGTTTCCCGTTGCCAAAACCGTACTCTTTTTGAAAAATCCAATTATCCCTGTCGCCAGGAGACGCGTTGATCTCTACGCACGCCGATCTATCATACTTTTTTTTTTCACTTCCCCCTACCCCGTCGGATCGTACTGTCTTTCGTCGACAGCGTCACGCCTGATACGTGCCAAATAACACGAGACGTTCGTGACGTCATGAACGACGAAAATTCTTCGGGGACTTTCTTGCCGGGTTCCACTCTGGTTGCACGTTGAAAAATATAATATATACCTATGTGTTTATTGAAAGAAGCCTTCAGAACCACTTCCAAGTATTTCGTCTAGTAAATTATAATATATTTTTTACAGGTATTAAAATAGTATTTCAGCTATGATACTAATTAAATAAATTATATGTAAGATTTTCAATGTATTTATTTTTCTGCATACGAAAAGATCGTACAAAAAAGGTTTTTTGTGTTATTTTTAGTGCCACTGGGAAGTAACTTTGTGCTTAGTCTTTGATCTTTTAGAACGCTGCGCTTGTTTATCAATATTGTTTGTACGACCTTCAGTGACCTTGACGGATTTATTGTTGCAGGTCGTTGAATTCGTCCTTAGCCATTCGTAGGCAAACGGATCTTTCGCACTTCGTAGGCAAACTGGGTCGTTTATGTCGGGGCTTAATTTTTTTAGTGTTTCAGGCTTTCGATAAATTTGAAAGAATTCTGGGATACTTGTCACAGTCTTTACTAGTTCGTTAAGTTAAATAGTTGAAGCAATTTTCAATGGAAATAAAACATTCGGAGGAAAATCCGGGAGAAATCGTAATTCGCTTGGGTCATCAACGACTCATATGGCCTGTGGAAGGTTAAACTGAGTCTATTTCCAACAGGGATCTTCGTAAAAAGTGGACTACAATCATCCAGATATCAAAAATATTTTTCGTTTAAATTACAACAAAGCATCGAAATATAAACCACAAAATTGATTTTTTACTTTACGATACCACCATTTGATAACCACTGTTGATAAATTATTAAATATATGTTAACGATCAATTCGCGTTATTACTAACGAAGGATAAGGCGTAACATTTGCAGCGTATTTCGCATGATAAAAGTAACAGAAAGAGTGCTCCACCATTTCACTAACTGAGAACGTGCGAGCAACACGTGACAAAATATATCATAACTCGGCTGTAATCTTGGCAGACAGTCAGTCCGACGATCGGCGGTCTCTCCGGGGAGAAAAACACCGTTAATTCAATGGCCGGTGATTTACGATAAAGCAGACACGCCCGAAACAATGCCCACGAATTACGTGGAACTGAAATAAAGGATAAGTATAGAATTGCCGTTGCAAAATCTATGTCAATGACGGAGTCAACTGCGTTTGGGATTCGTGACGATACGAGGGGTAATTTTGCTCTTGTTAGGTAAAAGTTGTGCATATTGCTTCCACGATCGAAAACATTCGAATGCAGGGGGGTAGACAACATATTTACATTTTGAGATGTATTCAAATGTTGAATACTTCATCAATCTGTAATCTTATTTGCAGCGTAATGGTAAATTTATTAGTGTACTCTTAACACTAGAACTACCAAAGCAGTAAAAATGACTGGTTGGTACATTCTCACAACGACCATTAAAATGTCATAGCGATGTATTTTCTCAGATATTTTGCAACTTTCATTCCACTACGAAACTGAAGAAACTAGTTGATTTATAAATATCTATATTTTCCAAAATTTGCCATGTATATCCATCCGCTAGAAATCGATCGTTATCATCGGTAGTTCTAGTGTTAAGAAATTATTTGAGAATGTAAATTCCCGCTCGTAAATATTGGAAAGCTTACCGAATACAAAGTCAACGCGAATGGAAATTGTCAAATTATTGAAGGTCTTGGAAAAACATTCCATTTCTTTATATGTAACACACTGTATTTGTAATAGTACGAGGCTGAAAATTGTGGTACGAAGTACGTCTAAATAGTTTTTATGACATGTCAGATTTTCTTTATGTACATCATGTGTCCTGAATATTTATGAGGGGAAGTGTACATTTATTATAATAGCTTCCATATTGCTTAGAATCGTGTGTTCCCTATCAGATCCAAAGTCAGTGTCCTTTAAGTCTGGGTGGGGAAAGCCAACCCATACGTTCACGTCACGAACTTGTTGCACCTACTCGTCGTGGACACTCGGCGGGTACTCTGTACTCATCCCGGAGACACTGATGGCCAAGAGAAGAGAGACCAAGCGTTCCCCGATATTTCAGAAGTTTTCTCTGGCCGCCACCCAAGGCTAAAACACTCGAAATAACGCAGTAGCAATTCGTGTGGGCGTTTTGCCGGACGGTCAGCCTGGTCACACTGGTGTCCGGTGGCAGGTGGAGCAGCTTTTGAGGTGGGTCCCTCTATCTCGGCTAATCCAACCGGCGGATTTAAAGGTCGCGGCGCGCCGAGAATGAGGTCTATGGAACTGGGTTAACCAAATTGACTATTTTCTGAATTTACCACTTGCCCGTCCGTAAGGTAAGGTTTCCCAAGCCCCCGTTAACATTATAACGGCCATCGGATGTGATCAGCGATCACGGATCGCGTATTGGGTCTGGCGAATTTATACTTTTTATCGATCGCGTTCGAACGCAAGGATGGGATCGAAAGGGTTAACACGTCAAGGTGGTCTACCCCTGAAGTTTACCAACAACATAGCCATTGGCGTAACCAGGTAGGGGCCAGGGAGGGGGGCTGGACCAACAGAATACGGATTGGCCCCCCCCCCTCCAAAAATTGTTGAAATATGTAAAAAAACATTCGTCAGTTAATAAAATCTTATGTTATAAAAAATAAATACTTGTGCCCAAATGCAACACGCAACGCAGCTACATACAAAAAATACAATACTCTCCTCATTACGTTAAAGTATTAAATAAAATTTTATTAGAATTAAGCTGTTTATTTTTAACATTCTGTAACTAATAATCCTGTAACATCAATTGAAGGGTCGAATGCAATAAGGAAACTAGCGCTCCAGAAAGGGAAAAATAGTTTTGCAGAAAAAAAAAACAGCAAATTGAAGTTTATATAGACTTTAACGATAGGTATCTGTATATAATATACTCTTGCTTTTAATCAATCTCCAATTTCTTTTCGCATTTTTTTTGTTATTTTTTAAGAATTACGTTTATATCTTCCTATTTTAGTGTTAAGTAAATATGTAAATAATTATTATAAAATGTGTAACTTTATTTTGTGCAACCCACGTACATGGTATAAAATACATACATCTGCCTGATGAGGAGTGTTATGGGCAAAAGTCAGGGGACTTGGCCCCCCTCGGACGAAAATCCTAGTTTTCCGACGCCGATTGACTCGCGCAGAAATGAAACCGAAAAAAATCATTTAAATTATTCGAGCACGTCGTAAAAGCATGTCTCGCGTGCCCGCCAAAAATATGCCGGGGAGCAAACTACATTCGGTCGCCTTCACCTATCGGTCGGGCCAGGACGAAGAATTGCTCCGCGGGGCAACCGAACGGATTGCCAGCAAAGACGACGATTGAAAATACCTCGGGGTTTTCGTTTGCAGTTTCGAAATCTGTGCCCGAGAATTGTAGTATCCCGCGGCGGGTCCAGGCTAGCTGGCATGGGCCAGCACCTGTCGCGCGTCGCCGACAGTGGAAATAGCTGGTTTCAACGAGGAGAATCGCGGAGCTTGCTACCCACTGACATAGAGTAACGCGAGTACGTGGGTGCACCGAGATTAATTGCTTGTACCAATTACTGAAATAATGGTAAACGGCTCGTATCCCCTCCTTCGCGGCACAATGACACAGGGCATAATTAAGCCTGGTGTTGCGACATCTCCTCTTTAGCAGTCTTTAAAGTCTTCTTGATTCTCCCTTACATCGTGAACTTCTTTTTTCATCTGTGTTCCAAGAAACGGGTACGGTAGACCGAGGCTAATCGGATCAGAATAAGAAATCAGTCCATATTTTTTATATTCTCATGGAAACGAACATTTGGATTCATATTGCGGCATCTTTGTCGCCCACATCCAATTTAAT